CCGACGGAAATCGTTCAACCGGCACTTTTCCCCCGTTTGCCATTCCAACACGATAGATTCGTGGATGCAACGAGGATCGCTAACAGAAACATATCTGCGAGATGGTCGAGTTTCGCGGCTTTCGATATTTTACACCGGTGATCTTCGTGATTCTGAACGCGTGGAAGAAAATCCGACGCGATTTATGACAGCGTCGAAGGACACTTTATTCCGCGTCGAAAAATCCCGCTGACCGACAATCGACGACGCTTCGACCACGGGTCACAGCGTGAAAATAATTTACACGTGAGAAAGGAGAAAAGCGGACACGTGACGGGGGGAACACGCTAACCGTGTCATTATCACGCTGACCAGTTGTAGATGACATAAGGATTCTGTTTACCAGCGAACCGAGAGGAACAATCCCCATTTCCGGTTACGACAGCATGCCAACAACGTGCTCGCGTCGCTTTCTCGAAAATAGAGGCTGAGGAACGTGAAGGAGGAGCGTTTGAATTTCGATTCTTTAACGGTTGAAACGTCACAATTTTGGAGAATGTTAAAAAGTAACGAAACGCCGAAAAAGAATTTTTTTTTTTCATACGAAGAATTTGTGGAAATATGAGGCAAAAGTTTGTGTGATAAAAGTCTCCAATTTCTAAAAAACACTGCAAATGGGAGTATTAACCCTTTGAAACCCCAACAAGTTTTCCTTAATCTCTATTTGAGACTCAGTATCTTAAAAAAAAAGAACAAGAAAAAAAGAAGTTTAGTTACAAAATTTTGATATATAGGTTAATTTAAAATCTAAAGAGTGAAAAGTGTAAGTGAGCGTCACTGCGCATTCAGCTGCGCAGCGAGGTAAGAAATGTTGTCATGGTAACAGGTATCGATACATCAATATTAATCTGTCTTCATTCGTGAGCTGTATTTTCCGATCGGCTAGGCGACGATTTGTATTTTCCCGTGTCAAAAATCAAAGCCAAAAGTAGTCAACACGTAAAACGTTGTTCGTCGATAATCTTTAACCCGAAAAGTAAAATTCACTCGAGTTAGAAATGATTGGATCCAGTGGCTGGATTTTTTTTCCAGTATCAATTACCGAGCGACAAACGAGACTCGGGACGAAGTCGTTGGCAAGACGCAAAAATCGGCGGCAAAGACTCGCGAGAACGACCTGACACGTTCTATCATAACGGGGATATTCCTCGAATAACAAGCTCGTGTTTACGCGCGATCCCTGCGCGACGAACTCGAGGAGGAAGCGAAAGAGCGGGCGACGATAAAAAGGAGATTCGTATTAATAGGCGTGTACGAGTTTAGATACAAACGGTTCGTCGTTATCGGCGACCGCAGAAATGCGGACTCGGACTTGGAATCGTCGTCGTGATCGTCGCGTCCCAGATCGGAGTCAATAAACAGCGAACAGATTTTAGGTGAATTGCGCTGGACGCCTGTTGGAAACGACGAATGAAACGAACCTCGTAACTTCAAGGTGGTAGAAAACTGGCGAAATGGAAATTGGGTTAATGGGCTTCTTAGAAATGTTACTCGAGAAACGTTTTCTGTCGTGTTTAATTACTCTTTGGTCCCTTTGAGGTTAGGTTATGTCGAAAGGTATTCAGGAAAATAGGTTAGATACCAAATTGTTTGAATCACAAGGTAGCACAGAATACGAGATCAGATTCTATTAGATTTTCTGTGAACAATTATTTCAACATATTAAATCTTGTTTTTCAATACTCGTATGTAGTCGTACACTCGTAAAACACAAGAACAATTGGACATAGTTTAAATGCAGACCGTGAAAATCTCAATTCTACGTAAAATTAACCTCAACGTTCGAAGGAATAATTTTTCAACGAAGTTGCTAATATTCTACGATTTATTTGTACACGTCAACCCCTGTTCTAATAAAAATATCGTTCACCTACGTCACAAGTCCCGTAAATAGATAAACTTTCAGCAGCGAAGATCTTGCGAAGGAACGATAAAGATACAAGCACACGAAATCTTCGTTCGAGGCCAAATACCTCGCGCGAAGCGATTCATCAAAGCGTGTCAACGGTTTCCCGGTCGCTTTATCTCGCTTGAAGAGCCTCACATAGAACAATATTCCAACGTCGTATTCTCCTTAAATCAGGTCCCTCGAAATCTCGTCAGGTGTTTAACTGCGGCTGTTTGCTAGGAATCGTCATCGTTTAATCGCGCCCACCCTCTGTCGTCGGTATGTCAAACCCGGTGTGCACGGCAATGCGTAGCTGATTTCACGTTGGTGAAACGTCTGTCTCTCTCTCTCCCTTCCCCTCTCTATTTCTCTATCCTCGTCTCGCTCGACAGATTGCCGCACGTCACCTTACATCATTGCCACCCTGTCGTCGTAATAATGGCATTACACGACGATATCGGCCGTACTCTGCCAGACGATCGATTATTCTAATTGCGTTAATAACGTGGACACCGTTTATTGGCAGCTTCGTGCACGGTGCCTGGATGCAGTCGTTGACAACGTGAATCTGTACGATTCAGAATACCATCTGTTGTGATTAATCGTTCTTAGGTGAAGGAATGCAGTGTGGAGGTTAGATTGATCGTTGTATTGTTTCTTTCTGCTGGTAGAATTGATGGTTATTTGTGTTTAACGACGTGTAGTCTTCAATTTTAGAAGCAGGAAGATTTCAAGACAGGTACTAAATGTTTAAAGCATGGAGAAGGCAGGTAAAGAAAGTCACAGGTAGGTAGGTTAGGTTATGAAGTTGGAAAAGCTAAGGGAGAAAATGTCGTAAATTGTTTTGCATTTACTTTTTCCCTCAAATTCACATTCTAATATACAATCTTAAACGTTGAAAAATACCCGTAAACTACGTTCTTGCCCGAAAACATTAGTCTAACCTCAAAATATAACAGAACGACTGCCCTTTTCGAAAAATTCATCAAGCACCACGAAACAAAATCGACGTTCGTTTAATTACGGTCGAGTTAATCGGAAATAAGAACGTAACGACAATCGTGGAGGATGTATAACGAAAGTGAACGTGAAAGAGACGAGTGTAAAACGATCGAAAGCGAACAACCCGGTAATAGCAACGAGATCGGTAGTGAATGCAATAGTAATAACAACGAGAGAGAGTAAATAGTACTAGGGTCACGGGAGTGCGACCAGAACGCGGACAAGACGTTCGATCGCGCGGAGTAAACGAGAGCGAGAGTAAGAGAGAGAGAGAAGGAAAAAGAGAGGACGGGTTATCGGCACGGTATACTATTTATACACGCGCCCACGAACCATTAAAAATACGTCGCGTCGCGATGCAATTATATCGGACGACCATTCGAGTATAAACAATTAGCGAGGCGTGCAACCAACCGCGCAGCAAGAAACCGACTCGCGCGATAATACGTCGATCAGATCTTTCTCCGATGATGTAGCTTTTTAGAAAAATTCTACAGAAGAGCGGAATAACCATTTTCTTAACCTCAAAACTCGTACAATACGCGGAAAGAATTTTTCGATAGTTTTAAAAGCGGCGTGCACGTGATCGATGCAGTTTGACGATAATGTTGAGGCTAGGGTTTGAAAATATCGGGAAATTCATTGACAAATTCTGCAATCTAAATATCGAACCCTGGCAATCAATAATATTACCAATATTTGCTAGCACTGATCTATGATTTATTCATAATATAGATTAATTTTAATTAACCTAAAAACTTTCGATTTATTTAACCTAAAAAAAATTGATCGATACCAGAAAATATCTCTCGACTATTTTACGTTAATATGTTAAAAATACTAAAAAGTTTAAATAAAAAAATTAACATTTTAACAACAGTTTTAATGTAGTCTGAAGAAAAAGTTAATAATTAAGAATAAGATGTTACTAGATATCAACAGATACAAAAAATGTTACAATTCAATCTCTACGCCTGCTACCATAATCGCTAATACGACTTTCGTAAAGGACTTGGAAGAACCATAAACTCTTTTCAATTGCAACGGTTAATCACCGGAGGGAGTACTATTTGAAAACCCGTTTCAATCTCCCGCAAGGTTATTCTTTCCACGAAAATACCGTTGGCGTTAATTTCTTTCTAGTTATTTTCTTTTTTCCCCCTTTTTTTTCGAAACTAACACCGAACGGGAAGGCGAGGCGACACGGCGAAACACAGAATAAATTGCGGGCTGATTGAACTCGAAAGCCAAGGGAGAGAGACCTTCGTTGAAAGAATTTTCAAATTGCAGCTGGTCTCGAGCTGAATGAAAAGTAAATTGGATCAGCGCTCCTCCGCGGTGGCGTTCTCGCGGCCGCCACTTAATAGAAATGCAGCGAGGAGGAGGTTAAGGAACACGAACTTTTCCACGAGTTCTTATCGAGCACATTTTTAATCGGGCCTCGTGTGCGGCATTCCGTGCCGAGCTTGTCAGTTTGGGGTCAGAAAAATATCCCGACCGTCTCGGAAAGGTTACCGAGCGCCGTGAATTTTTCTTCGTCCATGCGACGCTGCTCCCGCTTTCTCCGCATCCCCCCTCCCGGAACACGTTCGGTTAACCTCTGTCATTTTTATCCACACATTTTCAACTAGAAGATTATCATAGACACCACTGGCAAATTTAAATATTTTGTTTCTCTTCGTAAGTTTAACCCTTTCACTGTTATAGGTGCATTGAAAATTTGTTCGCGTTGTGTTATTGGGGCCTGTTGGCGCACTTCCATGTTAATTCAAGCTTTAATTTTATTCTCTCCACTATTACACGTTAATTAAATGAAACAAATGTTAAAATGATACGGAAGAAAATTTTGCGATCGTTATGGAGTATCTGAATCTGCGTTGTGGACTAAAATTTGCCGCAGCGAAAGGGTTAAATAGAAGAGAAAATTAAAAAAAAAAATGGCGGTAGAAATTTCTCTTCGATGATTGTAGTATAAAAATATTTTTCACTCAAATTATAAAAGCTGAAGTCTCAAATTTCCCTCGAATTTGACTAATTCTCGTTGCTAATTGAAATCAAAATCTCTCTTACCTGTAACTCGTAGAAGCAGCGAAGGAGCCAATCCTCCGGGAAGTTCCTCCGCGACGGATCACCTCACTGGGCACTTCTTCCGCGTGTTGCAAACGCGGCGAGTTGAACGAGTCACCCAAAGCGAAATCTTCCAACGATCACTCGAATAATTTCCAACAAAAAAAAAAAAAAATCGAATAACCCTCGAAGAAATATCGAAATAACCGAAGAAACGTCTAACAAATGTTAGCGAAGAGGACGAAAAACCCTGTGACGGATAAGTGAGAGACTCGAGGAGGAAACGTCGAACGTCCACGCTGACGTCGAGCGTACTACTACTGCGGTTCCACTCGCGATATGCCAGTCGAAAGAGATTAGAACAGGGTTCTAGGAGCCGATTCCAGGTCCCTACCACGAGGTATCTCGTCCCTAACTGAACCACGTCACTGGCGGTATTGAAAATGGTGAATCGTTTGCGATCGTCCCCTTCGAACCGACCAATCGTGACCATCGATAGGCTCCGGCGATAATTTCGCTAACTGGAAGGGGGGCTGCACTTTCCTTCTTAGCGTCCTTGTTGCCCGACAGACTTGGGGATTTTTGCTTCGAGCTGCACGATTGGCGAGATCTAGATATCGATGGAAAGTGATTGGAAAGGAAATGTAACGTTATCGTTCAGCTACACTCTGCTGTGCTTTGGTGTAATTGATTGGCTGAATCACCTGATTGGTAGATGGACAAATTGATTTTTTACTGTCGGAATATACAGTGGACTACGGTTAATTGGGACGCCGTTTATTTGGGCCAGATACCGAAGAACGGAATATAAATACGTTAGATAATATGTGTGTTTATTTACTTATTTTTCATTACTTATCAATGTTATTTTATTAATTATTGTTAGCTTTGTTTGCATGCTTAAACACATATTTGTATTCAAGACCGAATATTACATACACTTTTAGCTTCGTTTTTCACGGTGTTCAGATTTTGCCTGTTGAAATTCGCTTTTTTGGGACAAATTAGTCCGGCCTCAATGTGTCCCGATTAACCGGAATCCGCTGTATTATGAAATAAATGCACAATAGTTTGTAGGAATTTATGGAGAAATTTGTAATCAGAGGACTCAGTTGAGAGTAAATGGATTTTTCTTTGATTATCGACGTTAATGTTAGACGTGATACGTTACGAAGTAAATAATATTCTTAGGTCTACTTGATCGGCTGAATCACCTGATTGTTAGATATCGGTATTACTGTTAGACAAAGCGCATTATGAAGCAAATATGTAACAGTTTGTAAGAATTTATGGAGAAATTTGTAATCAGAGGACTCAGAAGAAAGTAAATGGATTTTTCTTAGATTATCGATGTTACTGCTAGACATAATACATCACGAAATAAATGTGCAACAGTTTCTAAGAATTTATGGAGAAATTTGTAATCAGAGGACTCAGATGAGAGCAATATATACATGTCAGCAGCTTTTAATCGGTAAATTGAAATAGAATTATGTCATTTCTTACATTACACACGGAATCCAGAGTATTCTAATACAGATTCGATTCGAATTCTGTTCTTTAATCGTTCACGTTACAGATATTATAACGACGGAATTTTAGGACTCGGAAGATACAATCTGTCAATATAACCGATACGCGATCTTTTTCGAAAAAGATCCGACTAAGAGTGTAAAAATGCGTTACACGTGTTGCTTCCTATCGTACCAATGACCCAGAGGTCGCTCCAGCAGACTGCGGTTGATTTAATCTGAGGTCGAGAGACAGGGTCTGTGCGATCGAAGATCGTCGTTTTTCGTGATAAACGATGCATCGTTTTTCCCTCTATCGCGATAGATCTCAGGTGAAATCTAAACAGCTGTACGCTATTTTTAATCGGAAATCAAGCAGCTCGCGTTTCCTCGTGGGATTCCATTAAAAACCGCATTATGCGGTCTTGCACGCTAAGGAGACTTCTCAGATTTAATCGAGCTGTTCCAGATAACTCGATGATTTACGAACGTTTGCGATCTAATTCGCTTCTTCTTGGCTGGAACGTTGGGGGAAAGTGCAGGGTGCTTGGAAAAAGTGGGAAAAATTGTACGAAAGTAACATTTTCAGTCTTCAGAGAGTCTCCGTTTGTTCGCCATCGTTTTCGACACGTTCCTCTGAATCTTCTTTTCTTTTGCAAACGAAAAGAAAGAAGATACACCGTGTCTATAAATTTGTCGTTTGAAATATGTAATTGCTAAATTTTGAATTTTTTTTTTTTTTGCTCTTTCATTGTGGTAACACTTTACCGACCGGTAGCGGTTGAACATTCTACGCACTTTCGACCGGTCACTCGGCCACAGATACATCGGTGACACCGGCTCTGTTTAGACTTTAGGCTATTGCGCGGGAATATACGCGCTTTTCCTTATACCTGTAGAAATGTTAAATCAAACTTTGACCGGTTAATAGGTTATCGGTCGGTAAGCGTCGGCGAAAAGAAAATGGATTAATAGGCTACCGGTCGGTAAGCGTTGGCGGCAAAAAGCCGATTAATAGGTTACCGGTCGGTAAAGTGTTAAGATTGCAAGGGTTTTTGATGGATAGGAGGATAGTGCGTGTATCTGGGTAAGTTCTTTTAAAATCTTTATTGAATAGGTGGCTCGCGAGGTTTACAATTGACTGTCGACTGACTCCTTTCCAGTCACCTCGCGAGTTATGATTGCCCTCAATCAGGAATTTTGTCTTCAACCCGCCGCTAGTCCTTTGCGTCCTTGGCGCGCTTTTTCCAGGACCGCGGCGAATTATGGTTGGGGCGTATTGTCCGCTGTAGCGCATTTGGCAACGGTCCGGTACCTGAGACCTGTGGCCTGGGCCTCTGGGCCCGTACGCGGACCTTTCGGCAACCCTTGGTTTATGACCTGGCAAATTGCTATTGGGACCGTTGGTGAAAGTTTCTACGAAACCATGCATTGTTAGATTTACTAAACGTTAAGCAGACTAAAACGGTTTTCTCAAAAATAGCTTTGCTAGCGCGCACGTCATAAACCGTGTTGGTCGTCCGCGCGGCAAATGCTTGCTTCTGCACTACAGCTGGCCGCCACAAGACAAAATTATATGTCAGAAAGTACTCTAACTCGGAGTAGAGTGGGCGTAAAATGAATTAAACGTTTCTACGTTCTTGCAACAGTGTATTTTACACGAAGACTATTCCCGCGTTGTCTGAGCGTCGTTCGTAAAAAGTACGCGTTCAACGGTCTCGTGAAGAGTATGTATATACGCGTCGTCCTGCCGATTCCTGTCCACCCCTGCGCGAACAGGCCCAGGGAAAAACCCAAAGCGCTGGGCCTGGCTTCAAGGTGCTCGCTTCACCGTCTTCGGGGCGGATTTTCTCACATATACCACTTAGTTAAAAAAAGTACAAAGTAACGTTGAAGTGACCAACAAATTTTTGCTCTGCATTATCATATTGTGGGATTTTGTTAACATGTTGAGCGCGGAGCCGATTTCGCTCTGCTTTCCGTCCAGGCGGCACACAGCGGCGATCACTTCGCGAGCTGTTCGGTTGTAGAGTATAAACAGAAGATAACAAATGCGCTCACACGGCATTCAGACGAAGAAATACCAATCCGGGTTGATAGTGTCGAATCCTCATCCCTTTGTCCCTTGACTTCCATACATACAGATCCTTATCCCAGGTACCGTTTTGACAACTACCTGCGCGTTTTCCACTTTCCCACCGAATTCCTGTCCTATCTCCGGCAGATCCTCAAACTGATGCACTCTACCCATTTCTTCTGTACCGAATCCTTAAGTTCATTACCTATTGAGTGTACCTATGAATTGTCCCTGCAATTCTTCTCCCGTACCATCGAACCCTCAATCTTAACGAGTCCTGATCATTATCCTTACACATTCCTGGAACTTACCTAAAGGACGCAGTCTTTAGACCGTACACTTTATATTCGTAAAATCCACCGTCTAAAGTGATTCGACGACAATAGAAGAAGTGTTCATAAATTGCAAAAAAAAAAAAAGAAGGAGAAGTGCATAACGTTTATTTTTCAAACATGATTCTGCCGGTCCCACGGACCGACGCCACCCAAACGAAAAGTTCTCTGTCAGTCCCCGCGGACCGACGCCGCCTAAACGGAAAGTTCACTGTCAGTCACCACAGACTGACGCCGCGCTTAACGTGTTAATTACTTTTTGTGTATATTAGAATAAAAGTAATCTCACGTGTCGCCGGTGCTGTTCACTAATATCTTTATTTTCACAGATGAAGTAATTCGCTCTTCTTCTTTTTTCCCAACACACGCATCCACACACACTCTTACACGCCGCGATCGGCTTGACAACCCATGTTATCTAAACATAAACAAATGCGCCACGCACGGTCGTCTTCCATTCGTTCTTCCTTTCCAGGCCATTCACACCAACTCTCTCCATTTCCCCTCTCGCCCAACATTCACTCTTTCATACCAAAAACCCCATTTTATACGAAAAATAATAAAGAAGGCGTTCTTAACATTTCCCCTCTCGCCCCACATTCACTCTTTCATACCAAAAACCCCATTTTATACGAAAAATAATAAAGAAGGCGTTCTTAAATTTTTTTTCGCATCGATCACCGTTCGATAGTTATAAACGACACGAATTTTCCATGCAAGTGTTAAAATCATATTTCAAACACCCGGTATACAAAAATTGCCAGTTCCCTTCTGTTTTGCATATCTCGAGATAAATTCGTAACTTCTCGTTAATTACAACGCGGCAAGTTACACGTGGAAGTTGCGCCGGTTTCAGAGCGTAGCTGAAGCTTTTCAGTAACCAGGATCTTTCCCGAGGTATAGTACTTACCTTTCCCGCAGTTTCTCCCTTTCGCCTATCCTTCCCGAAGAAACAAAGAAGATCCTTTCCAGGATAACCGCGTGTAACGGCCACCGCCTCAGGTATATACACGCCGGCCATTTATGTCCTTCCACCCCCAAATCCATTTTCCTAAGTCTGCAATTACACTCATCAGGTCGGAGCACGGACTCGAATTTTTACAATGGCTCGTAAAATTTTAGCGAAAGTTAAATACCCTTTCACCCGCCGTAACGTTGAACCTGAAATTTTACAACGGAAGCTTGCGGGTTTGCTTCGTTGCGATGGGAAAACGTGCAGAGGGCTGTA